TAGAACCACAGGCCGGACATGACGAGGTTCATGACCACCTCAGTGGCAACGCTCCACCGGTGGAACTGAGGTCGATCAAGGTGAAAAAATAAGTTTAAACACAGGGCCCCAGTTCGTTAGCTAAGTTGGTGAACATAACTATGTTATAACCATAGTGTATGATACGCAAACATCTATATTTAGGTGGGGTTACAAACCAACTTATAACTGGGGGGGGGCACCATCCTGTACCCCCCTTGTGGTTATCGCGTACAACGGGTCGAAGCAACACTGCCATATCCAGGACATTGGATTGTCATCGTTCCCAGAAAATCAAGTTGGTACAAACTCCCGACCCGGGACTGGGTAGTGCTGTTAGAATAGATCGTATTGGGTGAGGTTATTACAACTCACCCAGAGTTTACATCTGTATAATGTGTGTATATATGTATACATAATATGTGTGTCTGATCATCTGTTATGTATTATGGATCGTGTATTGTGTCATGTGTACGTGCATCTAAACAATCCTATACCCTAAAATTAAACACCCCCAAATCTATGGTCATTCTGGGGGGGTGTTCAATCTTGGGGGGAAGAGATTATGTATGATGGTGAAACCAATACTAAACCATCCCCAAAATAATCATAAATAAGAAATGTTAAATAATCATCACCAAATGGCAATTTTATTTCTGGGTTTACCACAGTATTCACTATGTATAGAATCTACATGTATAAAATTATGGATGATAAACATCGTGGTTTATCTAGCTATAAAATTGGTGTTTTTACACATCTATGTGAGTTTACCCTAGGGCTAATTCTATTAATCACCATTCAACTCACCATTCACCATTCAAATCACCATAAAGTAACAGTAATATCCCCATTATTGATCATTTACAGATAATAGCCCCATAAAATCCCATTAAATCATCATGAAATCCCATTAAATCCCATTAAATCATCATGAAATCCCTTTAAATCCCATAAAATCCCATTAAATCATCATGAAATCCAATTAAATCCCATTAAATCCCATTAAATCATCATGAAATCCTATTAAATCCCATTAAATCCCATTAAATCATCATGAAATCCCATTAAATCCCATTAAATCCCATTAAATCATCATGAAATCCCAGTAAATCCCATAAAATCCCCATTAAATCATCATGAAATCCCATTAAATCCCATAAAATCATCATGAAATCCCATTAAATCATCATGAAATCCCATTAAATCCCATAAAATCCCCATTAAATCATCATGAAATCACATTAAATCCCATAAAATCCCATTAAATCATCATGAAATCCTATGAAATACCATTAAATCCCATAAAATCCCATTAAATCATCATGAAATCCCATTAAATCCCATAAAGTCCCATTAAATCATCATGAAATTCCATTAAATCATCATGAAATCCCATAAAATCCCATTAAATCATCATGAAATCCCATTAAATCCCATAAAATCCCATAAAATCATCATGAAATCCCATAAAATCCCATTAAATCATCATGAAATCCCATAAAATCCCATTAAATCATCATGAAATCCCTTTAAATCCCATTAAATCCCATTAAATCATCATGAAATCCAATTAAATCCCATTAAATCATCATGAAATCCTATTAAATCCCATTAAATCCCATTAAATCATCATGAAATCCCATTAAATCCCATTAAATCCCATTAAATCATCATGAAATCCCATAAAATCCCATAAAATCCCATGAAATCATCATGAAATCCCTGATGAAATCACTGTAAAAAACCTCCAAAAAAAATCCCCCTTGTTAAACAATCGCCCAGATGCTGCCGGAGTCGTGGAGGCCACCTTCATGAACGCTCCAAATCGGGAGCCCTGATTAGGCGATCAGCGACGCCATGGAGGTAGATCTATATCTATTAGTACATTATGTATGATATCATATATTTCTATGTATGAATATATATATATATACATAGTCTATACAGTACATATATATATATATAGAGACAGCTGTATCATTTACAAGATCATTAATATCCATTTAATCCATTTAGAAGGTAAAACAGGTAGATGTTTGTTGCACAATGGGGCCTCTGTCAGCAGCATGATGATGAGGCAGAATCCAAATGAGTTCAACATCGTGATGGCGAACCTTGGGGCTGGCCGGGCTGCTGGCGGTTGGAAGTTGCTGGAAGGGGGCCACATGGGGGGCCTCAACTGGACCGAAATGGTGATGAAATTCCAGAGATTCTACAAATTCTGAAACTGCTCTGAAATTTGTAAATGATGTGAGTAAGTCTGAAACTGGTGGTTGGCATCAAGATTGACCCTGGAGAAGGAAAGGTGGCACAGAGGCCCCCCAGTACCCCCAGTTATAAGTTGGTTTATAAACCCGAACAACTACAGTTCTGATTGCCAGAAACCCTGCTGGACTTGCACCAGCTATGATCCATGGATCCACATCAAGTTCACGTCCTCCCCACACAAACTCAGCAGCGAACTGGTTGCCCACACCACCCATCCGGTCCTGTGAAGATTTGATGATGTGCCCCTAAAAAAGGATCATATATACCTGGGTTTACAAGCCTGTTTACCCTGGGGGAAACATACAAAAACATGTGGAAAACCAGGGTTTTACCACTCGCTATACATGATCTACAGAGGGTGAGCGTCACCGATCCTGACAACATCTTTCTTTCTCCAACATTGACACGGAGGTTTCCTAAAATAGAGCTACTCCAGTCATCATCCAGTCGTCATGAATGACATCATGAATGACCATGGACCATGACTTAGTTTTTAGGTTACCCCATGGTTACCCCATGGTGACGAGTGGGGATCATGACATGATCGGTAAGTCCGTCAGTCCTTGAGACCTTCAGTCTGCATGAGTTTCTTGTTCTCGTTGCCCTGTCGTCAGCCGGACAGGTGCCGGTACCAGTAGAATTTTCCATGCCACTTGGGGCTGCAGTTATGGGTATAACCATGGTATAAACCCCTACAACTAAGGTTATGTATATAACCCACTTATTAAGTGGAGCTGCACCCCCAAGTATGGAAAGGGGGGTGTTTTTGTTTAATTCCTCGCAGTTCGCTACTACAGACCATCGGATTGGTACTTACTGTTGTTCCCATCCCAATTTTCACTGCTTCACACTTACCTGTCCCTGCAATTTTGTGACTCAAACTCCAGATGGCTATATTGGCTATATCTGAACAAAAACTGGACCCACTCATTTTGCTCATCGGTCTTAAACCTCGAGCCATCGGACCTACTAGACCTACTTTCGACAAAACGGAAAATCCACATTCCCCATCATTCGACTCTCCAAATTTGGCAGCAAATCACTTGGAGCATGTAATGATAATGTATCTGTTCTGGATTTGTCTGAAGACCAGGCATCTTATGGCACCCTTAAATCCACGCATAAATCATCATGTTCCCCATGAAATTGCCAAAATCAGGGTTTTTTTCAACCCAGTATCAAACAAAAATAGTATCATGGTATTTCTGCATTGAGTTGTAAAGTCCCAAGAAAGTTTGAAAAAAAACACATATGTATAGTAATAATAATCATAGTCATAGTCATGGTAGTGAAAATAACTATAACGGCAATGATAGTATAATGATAGTACTTGTAACTGTGATAGTCATAGGAATAGTAATTGTAATAGTAATAGTAATTGTACTTCCAATTGTAACAGCAATAGTAACAGCAATAGTAATAGCAATAGTAATAGCAATAGTAAGAGGAATAGTAATAGGAATCGTAATATTAGTAATAGCAATAGAAATTGTAATGGTAGTATATACAAACTGTAGTAATAGCAATTGTGCTAGGAACAGCAATAAGAATAGGAATAGTCATAGTGGTTAAAACAATAATAAACCACCCCATTTTTGATGGTTTATACCACCCATAGAAATGGTGATGACTGGGGGATGGTGCCTTTATGGCATTGTTTTAACCACAGCAAATCAGCGATGATGTTGCTGATGATTAAACCATCCCCCAGGAAAATCACAATCTTTATAGGTGGTATTGAAAAAACATTCCCAGGAAAATGGGTGGCTTATGGCATTGTTTTAACCACATGAGTAACCATCAGTTGGCAATATAACCCCATTAATAAGCATCAGTTGGCAATAGGTGGTATTAATCATCATTAACCATCATTAACCACATTAATAGTGATGATGATGATGATGATGATGATGATGTTGATCCCCATAACACCCAGGACTTGGAACGCCTTGATGGCTGCGAAGACGTTTGCCATGGCTGCCGTGAGCAGCGCTGCCCAGGCGAAGTTCATCTCACCTAAGGACGCCAAGACCTCGAGGAAGCGGAAAGCTTCGCCGCCATGGGCGAAGTTTGGAAAAAAAATGGGGAACTTCATAAATAACTATGGTTTATTGTACTTATAACTATAGTTAATGGGGTTTATAAACCAACTTATAACTGGGGGGCCCCACATTGTAAGTGAAATTTTGTGATGACCACTATACTTTGACTATAGTGGATTCATTCACCATAGTTAATTATTGTAGATATAGTGAACTATGATCGTGCAATGATTGCTATGAATTTTGTTTTGGGACTTCACAAATCAAGATTTTTTTTCGGGGAAGAACTTGGATGACTGGGGATTTTGTCCATTGGAATGCGTTTTACATATGTTTACCATGGAAATTGGTTGATTTACATCATGTTTACCATATGGGGTCCCCTTTATTGAAGATTGCGCAGCAGAGACTGTTGATTCACTGGAAAATCCACTGGGAACATGTTTCGGATTGCCATCAAAAGTCCTATGGCGGAAGTGCAAGTCGTCACACGGCTGGACAATTTGTCTTCGGCCCACAAAACCACAAATGGATTGATCATTTTTGGTATTGAAAAACAAGTTTGGTATCGAAATTTCGACTCATAGTTCCGGTGGTGGATCGATATGGCAAATATTGCGATGAACATCTATAACTCCATCAGGTATCACGGCGACCAGAGCTTGGCTAAAGACTGGTTGGTTCACTAAGCGCTTCACGAACGCCATGGTACTGTAAAGGTACCCTCTGGTAAACATACAAAAAACCATGGAAAATCTCCATTTTTAATGGGTAAATCATGGTAAATCAACTATTTCTATGGCCATTTTCAATAGCAAACTGTTTGTTTACCAGTGGCTGTGTTGCTGCCGCATCCACGCAACAGAATCTGGATGATTTCTCCCGTTGATGTGGGTAAAACAATGCCATAAACCGCACCATCCCCCAGTCATCACCGTCATCATCATCTTTATTGGTGGGATTGAAGAACCATTCAACCATTCCAGGAAAATGGGTGGTAAAAATATGTAAAAATGACATTGTTCTACCCACATTCTGATGGCCATCGTTCAACCTCAGTCATCACCGCCGGGCCACAACGCCACCAATCACTGGGATGAGGCAAAGCCACTTGCCCAGACTAACCTTCCTGGCCAAAGATTTTTGGGGCCCCGGGTCTGGGTGTGATGGAAAGCCTAAAGCCTAAACTCAATGGGTTGGTTTTGTTGTGAACATCTTCACCGGAAACAATGGTTTTTACAGTTTTTACCATCAAATATAGGGTATCATCCAATTCTGTGTTTTTTACTTGGATCTCCCATGCCAAATTAACACACCAAAGACATGGAACAACGGGGTTTTTGCTGCAGAAAAGGTACCAACAAGTTTGATTCGGTCATGATCAGTTGCCCCTCTTCGTGGCCATAAAATGGGTGGAAAACACTCCCCTCATTTTAAGTTTCAAGACTCAAGTATACATTATATATTGTAATATACACGTATTGTTGGCAATATATCCAACTATGTCCTCATGAAATACCTAGTCAACCCCATGAAATCCCCATGAAAATCCATGCAAATCCCCATTTTTAATCACAGAAATCACCATATCTTCGATCACTGAGTCCAGTACTGACCGTAGAACATCACGCCCAACAGAGCTGCAAAGGCTGGCTCAGCTGCCTGCCCATGGGGATCCTATAGGGGTTTCCTAACTTGGGAGATACCCGGCCTGATAAACATACAAACAACTATGGCATGGAAAATCACCATTTTTTACGGGTAAATCAACTATTTCTATAGCCATTTTCAAACTTCTACTTTCTGAAAGGTGTTGAAAATGATGTTGAACCACTAAAGCTGAGGTCAAAAATTAATGAGAAAGTATAGTCCATACCCCATAGGATCCATGTATGGTATATATGCGAACATTGGGGGTATATTGATGGTAAATGTTACCATATATAGCATACATGGATCCTATGGGTACTACATGGTTTCCAACAAGAACGGTACAGTGCTGGGCGTTGGTCCACCGCAGAACTCCAGGCCTTGACAATCTGACCAAAGGACACCGCTCCGGCGTTGAGTGCGAAGACGGACGCAGCGTGAGCACCTGCCAGGAAGATTTAGTTATTTTCTTGAACAAAAAGGATTCACCTATCACTAAAGAAATTGATTTGAACCACAAAAGAACGAGCACAATGAAAAAGATTGATTTAGAAACTATGTTTTTATCAATGAAAATATTGGATTTACCCATCCGAAAAAAAGTGGTGACTTATCAAAAAAATGATTTTGATTTAACCGTTGACAAAATCAACGGAACTGAACGAGAAACGAATTTGATTTAACTGTGTGAACAACTTGATTTACCAATCGGAAAATGAGAAGTTGACCACATAAACCTGAGAAGGAGGGAACGAAAGCCAGCAGCCCCAAAATTGAAGGCACGTGTAGAATCGCAACATGACCCGGTACATTTCATGTCCTCTTCACCAAACCAGCTGCCATTCCATGCGTGAAGACAGCTTAGACCAGGCACTTTGATTCTGAATATCTCAGGCCACCTCACGCAAGACCTCTTTGGAATTTAATGACAAAGTTAAAGAGACACCCTAATCACCACCTATTTGGGAGTCATCTGGCTTTCGCAATGTTTTCACCATTAAGAAAACGGATTTACAAGGCCAAAACAAACTGGATTTGACCATTCAAAGAATTGGAACGGGTTGTTCACTGACCCCTGGCTTTCCTCATCCAAATGAGGTGAAATCATACAGAATATACGCGGCACACTTTTTTAGAGCAAGAAAAGTGGGGGCAGTTTTTTCAATGCTGTAGAATGACCAGAAACAGGAGGGCTTCCTGAACAACAAAAATCTATATATATATATATTTACATATATATCATATATATACATATATATATATTGACATATATATATATATTGACATATATATATATATTGACATATATATAATATTGACATATATATAATATTGACATACATATAATATTGACATACATATAATATTGACATACATACATACATACATACATACATACATACATACATACATACATACATACATACATACATACATACATACATACATACATACATACATACATACATACATACATACATACATACATACATACATACATACATACATACAACATACATACATACATACATACATACATACATACATACATACATACATACATACACTACATACATACATACATACATACATACATACACTACATACATACATACATACATACATACATACATACATACATACATACATACATACATACATACATACATACATACATACATACATACATACATACATACATACATACATACATACATACATACATACATACATACATACATACATCATACATACATACATACATACATACATACATACATACATACATACATACATACATACATACATACATACATACATACATACATACATACATACATACATACATACATACATACATACATACATACATTACATACATACATACATCCATACATAAATATATATATATATGTCAATATATATATATATATCAATATATACGTATATGTTTTTTCCTATTCATATATATATATACGTATATATATATATGCAACACGTGGGATTGCAATATGGCGACCTCAAATTGGAAATGGGCCACTATGATGGGCGTACTGAGGAGGCTCTTTTTTGGAATGAGCAACCAGCGTTCCCGCATCTGGAAAATCTGACCACTCGGGCGAGTTCAAAGTCTTAGCAATTTGCATTGACCCTATCCATGTCAGGTAGAAACATTAGAAACAATGTCTCTAGCTGAACCTGATCACTCCATGGTTCCCTGCTTCAAAATCTCTTCTACAGTATGGAGTAAAGAAGTTTCACCACTTTCAATATCTTCAAATGCTGGAGAAGTGTCATTATTCCATCAGAAAAATCTACAACCATCAGTCCTTTCCCAGATATCTTCACCAAAACAGAATCCGTATTAGTCAACCATTACCAAAAATCATCAAAAAGTCACAAAAAACGACGCAAAGAATCAGAAAAAAAACATGGTCTCCCATCCAAAAGTCTATGAAAATCATCAAAATCACCCCAAAAATCCCCAAAATCACCCCAAAAATCGTCGATTTTCTCACCATTCGGTCAGTCTGGAGCCGCTGGGATTTCACCCGGAAAACGCCGCGCATTTCACGTGCGGCGGCGTGCAACCCATGCGGCGTTGCGGGGGGCGTGTAGGTTGAAGAGCTCTTTTGTTGGCCAAATATGAGAAAAACCCATGCAAAAATCATACAAGAAAAACCATATCGAACTTAGATGAACTTAGTATGTACCTACTATAAATTTTACAAAAAAAACAGTAGGTACACACTGCTTGATGATGATAAAACCTGATCGGCAAAGTCCTCGCACACAGAGAGACCAGTTGGACACTCTCTTTATTTTTGTGCGGTTCGAAATATTGGATGCCAGTCTTCAAAAAGACATGATATACCCTCTGGCAAGTTAACATAGCTCTTAAAAACCACCATTTTAATAGGTAAATCCTCTATAAATGGGCCATTATCCATGGCTATCCTTTATGGTAGCCACCACTGGCAATATTGCTTGAAGGCGGGCGATGAATTAGATGCTACGTCTCCTCTTCGATCCCGGCCAGTTCCTGTTCTCGTGGACGTTGAACTTGGCTGTTATCAAATGCCGTGAGATGCATCCAATAATGCACCGGAGCCCCTGGCACCACATATCCTCAGCAACCAGGCTCCGACCATCGACCATCACAATTGACAAAAATTCATGGCAACGGTGACTAGTCTGCAAACTGCCACGGATCAGACCAAATGTTGACCAAGAAAGCGAGATATGGCAGTGTGTCAAAACCTTGTACCCCTGGTGAACATCAAAATAGCTGGTAAATGGATGTTCATCCCATTAAAAATGGTATTAATAGGTATTGATCCATACCCATATAGCAACCCCAAAAAAAGAGGCCGAAGTTGGTGATTTTATCCCTGAAGGAACTCACCAACTTCCAACTTAACATCCCAATGCTGGATGAAAGAACCCTTAAACACCAACAGACCGAGAGATAAGGTGGATGCTGATGGGTGATTACACCCATACTAAACCTACTTGTAGAAACAAAAAAAATATGTATATAAATGTATGTATATATATGTTTATATATAAATATATAATTATATAATATAATTATATATATAATTTTATATATAAATATAATTATATTATATATATAAACCCCTATGAAACCCAGATTAAAACTATATAAACCCATCATATCCCATCGTTGATCATGCACCGTGCTACCCGGGGGGTACCCTTCTTTCAAAGCGGCGATCTGCCCGGCAGACAGAGGTCTGCCTGGAGCAGAGGTAACTCCTTGACTCCCCGGGCAAGCGGAAGAGCATGGGCCGCCGGAAGTAACAGCGCTGCCGCTCCTGGTGAGATAAAATCTCAGACTGTTTATCTTAGTGGGGATAAAATCATCATCAATAACGATGATGTAATATGATGTAATATGTATGTATAAACTGTACAGACGTCACTAAGAAGGATAACTATCACCATCATCATCATCATCACCATCATCATCACCATCACCATCATCATCATCACCA